TCTATCTCCTTCCCAAAATCCATAAGCCCGACTGCCCTGGTTGACCCATTGTCTCAGCCTGCTCCTGCCTCACTGAACTTATTTCCACTTACCTTGACTCCATTTTCTCCACCCGGTCCAGGAACTCCCCACCTACGTCAGTTACACCACCGACCCCCTCCACTTCCTTCAAAACTTCTGATTCCCTGGCCCTCAACACCTCTTCTTCACCATGGAATCCAGTCCCTGTACACTTGCATTCCCCATGCAGATGGCCTAAAAGCCCTTCGCTTCTTCCTCTCCCACAGGACCAAGCAGACCCCCTCCACCGACACCCTTATCCGCCTAACGGAACTCATCCTTACCCTTAACAACATTTTCTGAAGAAAGGTCCAGACCCAAGACGTCAGCTTTCCTGCTCCTCTGATGCTGCTTGGCCTGCTGTGTTCATCCAGCTCTACACCTTGTTATCTCAGACTCCAGCATCGGCAGTTCCTACTGTCTGTCAATAGAAAACAATGAGCTGTTTCCAGAACAAAGGTGTGGAGGTGTCGGTGTTGGACTGGGGTGGACAAGGTCAGAAATCACACGACACCAGGTTATAGTCCAACAGGTTTATTTGAAAACACAAGCTTTCAGAGCCTCAGTCCTTCCTCAGGTGCTAGTGAGAGAGGTAGTATCTGACACATAATTTATAAGAAAACGATCAAATGTTCACACCTTTGATGAGGATGTACTAAACAAACCTAAGATGCTGTTAAATCTTTTATCAGTTCGAAGGTTTTAATTAAAAACCAAAAGAACTGCAGATGCTGTGAGTCAGGAACAAAAACAAAATTGCTGCAAAATCTCAGCAGGTCTGGCAGTGTCTGTGAAGGAAAAAACAGAGTTAATGTTTCGGGTCCGGTGACACTTCCTCAGAACTCACCAGACAAGGTTTTAATTGGTTAATATGTATATGTAAACCTCCGAATTCCTTTCAAATCACTGTCCTGTGAGAACTAATGGTTTTATTAGTGTAAAGAAGAGGGGACATTTTAGGTCAGACAATGCATGTTAGGTGTGAGACCTTGTTTAGAATCTGTTTGCGTTTTGGTTTGGAGTCAGACTGGTTTTATTTCTAAAGTAGGAATTTATAAAACACCATATTGACTGATTGTCTATAAATAATGTGCTTTTTGAACAAAATAGAATGTATCTGCAAATATAAATTCACACCATAGATTCGTGTGTGTGTATGTGTTGTGTGTGTGTGTGTGTGTGTGTGTGTGTGTGTGTGTAAGAGTGTGTGTGTGTGAGAGTATGTGCGCGTGTGTGTATGTGGGAGAGTTTGTGTGTGAGTGTGTGTGTGTGACAGTATGTGTGTATGTGAGAGTATGTGTGTGAGTGTGTGTGTGTGAGAGAGTGTGTGTGTGTGTGAGAGTATGTGTGTGTGTGTGAGAGTATGTGTGTGTGTGAGGGTATGTGTGTATGTGAGAGTATGTGTGTGAGTGTGTGTGTGAGAGAGTATGTGTGAGTGTTTGTGTGAGTGTGTGTGTGTGAGAGTGTGTGTGTGAGTGTGTGTGAGTGTGTGTGTGAGAGTATGTGTGTATGTGAGAGTATGTGTGTATGCGTGTGTGTGTGTGAGTGTGTGTGTGTGTGTGTGAGAGTGTGTGTGTGCATGTGTGTGTGAGAGTGTGTGTGTGTGTGTGCGTGTGCGTGTGTGTGTGTGTGTGTGAGAGAGAGAGAGAGGTGGAGAGAATGTGTGTGAGTGAGGGGGAAGAGAGAGTGTATGCTGGGGGGAGAGCCATGGGGGCCATATTTGCTCCCCAAAGTGCCAACATTTTCATGCACTGGTTCAAACAAGACTTCTTTGCTGCACAGAACCTCCAACCAATCATATTCACCAGATACATTAACAACATTTTCTTCCTTTGGACTCATGGCAAGGAGTCACTGAAACTACTACATAGCAATATTAACAAGTTTCATCCCACCATCAGACTTACCATGGACTACTCTTTATAATCAGCCTCATTCTTGGACACACGCAGCTCCATCAAGTTCGGACACCTCTGTACCTCACTCTACTGCAAGCCCACAGATAACCTCACGATGCTGCACTTCTCTAGCTTCCACCCTAAACATATTAAAACAGCCATTCCCTACGGACAAGCCCTGTGCATACACAGGATCTGTTCGGATGAGGAGGAACGAGATAAACACCTGAAGGTGTTGAAGGATGCCCTCATAGGAACAGGATATGATGCTCAACTTATCGATCGCCAATTCCGACGTGCCACAGCGAAAAACTGTAATGGCCTGCTCAGAAGACAGACACAGGATACGCCCGATACGGTACTGTTCGTTGTCCAGTACTTCCCAGGAGCGGAGAAACTACGCCATGATCTTTGCAGCCAGCAGGAGTAGTGAGTCACAGACCAGGTTGGCTGGGGGTTGGTGAATTCCGGAGCGGAGGCAAGACCCTTAGGGACTGGAAGTGAGGCCTCGAGGTTTGAAGTCCAGTGTGGTCTAGAGACATGGCCCGGATAGCCTGAATGTTCTTTGCTGGCATGGACTTGGTGAAAACACTAAAATGCGAGTACTTTTTGAAAAGAAAACTTCTTTATTCCTGTGCTGAACATTTATTTATGATCCTTTCAAGTCTGTAACATATACTTAAGTATCTGTATTTTGGTATCCTGTGCCTAAGATGGCGCCGAAGTGGCAACATTACAAACTTTTCACTGCACTCATTCGAGTGCACTTGACAATAAAACCAATTCAATTCAACTTCAATTCAATGCTGATGTTATTTCCACAACTGAAGACAATGCATCCCATCAAGGTGAGAAAACTGATTCGTACGAAGAAAGTTTCTCCCCTTATAAGACTGGGATGAATGTTTTTTTCTTGATTGTCATTTGATTGTGACAATAGCCACCTCCATTTTTTAATTAGCTTACACGATGGAGGTTTTCAGTGCTGTGTCCCAAATTCCAGTCCTCTTAATATCACCAAATAAGAGCCAAATACTGCAGAAACTGGAATTCTGAAATAAAAACAGGAAGTGCTGAAGAAACTCAGCAGGTCTGGCAGCGTCTGTGGAGAGAGAAACAGTTAACATTTTAAGTCCAATATAACTCTTCTTCTGAACTCCTGAGCTGTTCTTGATGTCGTAACCAATATATATCCCTGAAGCAACACTGACAAAACAAATAATCTGGTCAGTGCTGCCTGTGGAAGCATGCTATGAATAAATCAGCTGCTGTATTTTTACGTTACTACAAAGTACTCTCCTTCTTCACCCTCTCCCTTTGCCTGAGGTATAGCAGCCACCAGGTTAAACCACCATCAATTGTCTCTCTCCAATGGGACAGCAGCCTTATGGTTGAGAAGGATTGTGGTGAATTTATCTGGCAACTCTCAGGGATCTATTTCCCATGTGATTTTAGCCAATAGGTCACATATGCCACCTCACAGAGCTGCTGGGCAATCTTTACCAGCCTCAATCTGTGTGGGAGTAGCCATTGCTGGCACTGAAGTTAAAGGTTGAGGATTGTCATTGGAGCCCTGGAATTCAGGCACGTGGAGTGGAATTGCTGGAGCCAGTCAAGGAGGTCACTGTTATGATGGTTTTGAAGGTGGAAGAGATCATCTCTGCAAAGGGTTAAATGGTGAAGGGTCGGTCTTCCTGTTTCCTCAATTTACCTTGTCATAAATTTTCTATCCACTCACATTGAGAAAAATAATACTCATATATAACAAAGTGAAAACTCACAGAATCAGACAGCACACGAGGAGATCATTCAGTTCATTACATTTGTGCTAACTTTTTCAAAGAGATATTCCATTAAATTCTCTGCAATGCTGCTGCATGACAATAGTCCTCTGTCTTTCTATAGACCTAAAACTAACTTTATTGTATGATAAGCAGACAAACAAATTAATAATATAGAGAAACACCACATCCTACTCATTCTGTTCCCTATTGGCCTGGTGACAATTCCTCAACATTCCTGCTGAAGGAACTCAAGTTTGACCCTTTCTCCACCTACTGCCTCGGGTCCAACATGACCAAATGTCCATCCATCAAACACAATCCTCCATACCAATCCACAGCCCTTTCAAACACTTTCGCCCCAACCATATTCTCCAAACTCACTAATTCTGTTGCAAGGATGATGCATTTGAGAAAACAGAAAATGTAGCAGGATAGCAAATCAGCCAGGTGCACAACTGTACAACAAGCCCTGGCACAGCTCTATTATGTGGAATGGAAAAATTATAGACTTAAATAATGTATTGAAGAGGAAATAGGTTCATTGATGAAGAAAGGTTTTAATGGCACAGGAGAAGGCTGGTGGAAAGCAATTGCTTTGTTTCCTATCACAAGATACAAAGGGCCACTCACTGATGGCAAGAAAGGAGGTGGAAGACTAATAATCCTTTCCAATCCACCACTAGCATGGATCAATAAACATTTTAGGAATTTAAAATACACAATGTAATCTAGTCTCTTACTATCATCTGTGCTTCATGTATTAAGTCATGATTTTTACAGTTTATCATGATTTAGAGTACAATTAAATAAAGGATATATATCTCTTGTGTTAAAGCAGTGATATATAGCAGGGGATGGTTGTGGCATTAAATCAATTCTTATTTCTGAATGACATTCAATGTACTGCGACTTTATTACAAAGAAAAGGTAATAATTATATACCTATCAATTTTTTAACATTAATAGGTAGACTGTTAATTTGATTTTCACGAATAAAGCTAAAGTTTGACTTAAATTACTCAATCTGTCCATAGTTAAATGTCACAGATTACTTTGAGAGACTGAACTGTTAAGCTCCTGAATTTTAATCATTACATTTAGGACATTGTTCCATTTATATTAAGTCACTCATTTAAGTCACTTAAATATTGGAGGCTGGTGGCTATTTGAAGTCAAAAGACACACAATGAGACATTTGAAAATATACTTAACTTTATAAAACCAATACATTCAGATAATTGGTATCCTACCTGTCTTTGTTCTGTTCCATATGCGAATTTCTGTTGCTTTTTATTTAATATACCTGTACACTGAAAATTTGCAACTCTCCAGAGAGATTGAACAGGTTTGGACTCCATCCTTTAGAAAAGAGAGTGATTAGACATGACCTTATCTGATTCTTAATATTGTGAATGTGTAGATGTGGAAAGAATCCAAAACCACAAGTCAGCAATACAAGATAACTACTATAAAATCAATTAAGGAAATAATTGTCTTTACTTGGAGTGTAGCTAGAATGTGGAAGTCACCTACAGAGGAAGCCATTGAAGCAAAAAGCTTTGATTCTTTCAAAAGGAAGCTAAATGAGTACATGAGAGAGGTGGGAATGGAATCAAATGCTGAAAGACTGAGCAGGAGGAGTCAAGGGTTACCTCCTTGGGCCAAATGGCCTGTTTCTTTTTTTCAGCCATTCATGGTATGTGAGCATTGCTGGGATAGACCAGCATTTATTGCCCATTGGACATTAAAGATTCAACGATGTTGTTATGAGTCTGAAGTTGCATCTAGTCTATAGAAGACGTCCTTTTCTACAGGATCTTTGTTAACCAGATGGGTTTTTAATGACACTTGAAACATGCTTGTTATTAGGCTAGTATTTAGTAATAAATAGTTTATTGAATTCAAATTTCACCATCTGCCAAGATGGGTTGTGAGCCCATTTTTCCAGAAATTAGCATCAGTTTCGTTATTACGAGTCTGGGGATATTACCACTATATCACAGCCTCTTAGTAAGTTGTATATTCAATGTACTTAAACCTCTGCACCAAATCACTCTCTAATTGTTGGACTAAACAGCTTCTTCCTGTGTTCTGACTATTACTCATTCCTCTCGTTTCCAAGAATGCTTTTAATCATTCTTTGCACACATTTTTTAATCCTGCCATCACAGTTTAAATGTGGTCTAATTTGTAACAGAATAATATCAAATATTCAGAATCAAATATGTTGGTCAGGTGCCTTTGAGTAATGCATAGTCTCACAGGTAAAATCAGAAAATCATCTAACAACTGCATTGGTAACTATATGCCTCTGTACACTGTTTTCTTTTTAACATTATAGTTGATGGGGGGGTGCAGGAGGCTTCAGCCTTCTTCTAAAAAGCAGAAGAAAAAAATTAACTTTAGTTGTCTTTATCTTACAGTTAAAAAATTTATATGGGTATTAGTTTATCACTAAACAGAAAGCTTACTTACATGCACTTCAAATAGGAGACACGGATGTGACAGCATCTGTCGCAGAACATGTCTTTCATTTGTCCAGAATATCATTTCCCTTCTATCCATCTGTCAGCAGAAATGTTACAAATTTCCAGTCAAAAATTGCAACAGTTGCAAAAATTCAAGATAATCCAGTCAGTCAGTCTGAAGGAACTACAATCAAATAAATCTGTCATTATATAAAAGAAATTGGATTTGAAGAAATCTCATTATTATTAAAAAGCATGTGGTAGTTTAATATGTGAAAATTCATCCTGAACTGCAATAGTAGCCTTAGTTCAGATTTCAGCTTTCTGAAAGGATGTGACTATCAGTCCCTCATGCAGATATAGTCCCTTTACATGAAAGATTAATTGAACTCTGACAGAGAAAGGAAGCCCACAACAGTAAAGGATATAAAGGTTGGCAGTTTGCTCAGATATATGGAAATATATTTTGAAATAATTGCTTGCCAATATAAAATACTTCATTAAGCTTTAATATTTTATACAATTGAAGACATGAACAGAAACATGAAAGACTCTGGTTCTTTACGATAGCTAGAGATCAGTTTACTATGATTGCAGGGCTTGTGTTCAATGTAATCTTTCCAAAATTTGAAGAGGAAGATTGGCTGAAATGAATCAGATTGTTTATCTATGGATTAGCGTTTTGGAGCCTCTCGGGTGGTTGTCCAGACAGGTTCTTCAGAAAGGCTCTCTGAATAAGGGACCCGACCTGAAACATCAACTTTCCTGCTCCTATGATGCTGCCTGTTCAGTTGTGTTCCTCTAGCTCCACACTGTGTTGTCTCTATTTTCCTTACAACCTGGTTTTCATGACTGAAATAATTATAGTAAAAGGCACAAAAACAGCTGAAGTGTCATGTTAATTGGAAAGGTAATGATAGCCCATTTTCTACCTGTGTGCATATTTTGGCTGTTGCTCTGGACCCCAGTCCTTTAATTTTATCTGTCTTTCCTTCTTTTCTTGGCATCCATCCTATTATCTTCTCCTGCAGTGTGGTATCAATTTTTGTTCGATATTCCGTCCTGTGAAGCATGGTTGGATATTTTGACTTTAAAGTTCACAGCCTTGTTTTCAAATTCCTCTAACACATTGTACCTCCCCAGGTTTTTAATGTTGTTCAGCTCCCCAGCTCTCAGATATATAATACACTCACCTAATTCTGGCCTCTTGCGTATCCCCTCTTTAATTTCTCCATCATTGGTGTCCATACTTTCATTTTCCTAGGCCCCAAGGTCTGCAGCTCCAACCTACATCTCTCTGCCTCACTTTCCTCCTTTAAGACCGCTTTGAACAAGCTTTTGTTCATCTGCCTTAACATTTCCTTATGTGGCCTGGTGTCATACTTTGGAATAGAACATATGGGACTGTTCATTCCATTAAATACATATAAATATAAGCTGCTGTTGCTCCACTGCATTGGGTGCTGTTTGAATGCCAAGTGTTGTTGTGGCTGGTACTATGAGCTCAGCGCTGTGACCTCACTTTCCTTAAACTCTTTAATATTCCCCTTACTCAGCAACAAACAAGCACAGAGGATGGTGAATTCAGAGGAGGGAGGACAAGAGAACCTGAGGTGAAGGAATAGGAAACACTCGTATTCAATGTGTCCCACACCCACTATTCTGAGGTCCTTTGCCCCAATACTTTGATGCCAATGGCATAAAACATAACAATGAATACAGCTACTACTTACTGAGGTTACAGTTTATTAACCAAACAACAGCATTGACTCACGACACCAGTTGCTCAGTGGGTTTCCACATATCAGTCATCAGTCAGTGAACAGTTCCTCCTGTGTGTTTTCTCAGGACTGACCAGATCTTGCTTCCTGTTGCATCCCTAATGTCCTTGAAGGTTGAATATTTTATGCACTTCCATGAGCCAGGCCTTTAGCAATATTAGGCAATACTCCAACTCCCATTATCTGGTTGGGTTATTTAATCTATCTTGGCCTTACTGGGCTCACCCTTCCATGGAGTTACGCCCTACCCTCAGCAAGGGCTGCCTCGAGATACATGCCAAAATACAGGTACTCTACTGTATCCATAGCCAGTTAAACACCATTCACACCCCCATCTGGCAGCTATTGTGCAGTCAGTTTCTCTAAACAAAGTGTCGGTTTGTGAGAGACACCATTTTCATGACATGTCTGGGTGTGGATGTGTCGGTGCAAGTTAAGTTGTTTTTTGGTAAGACAGTCTTAGTTTGTCCCAACAGTGCTATCGGCTGTCAGAAATTTCCCATACCGTGCAGTTCCATCTTTATACCACCTATACAAGCTCCAGATGCTGGCCCCACTCATAATGAGTTATATTTTAATAGAAGTGCAAATGCTAGATACGTTAAAAAAAGATAAAACAAATAAATAATTTAAGCCATGACTGACACCAATGGACAGAAAACAAAATGACTTTGCACCTGACAGAACAGAAATAACATCACAACAATAGAATGCCTTACAGTTTAAATGTCAAAGGAGGAAGGCAGGGAAGATAGTTTAGGGACTGGGACTTGGGCAGAGAGGGAACGGTGTGGTGTGAGTGCAGCAGTATCAATGATTTGAAAGCTGAAGGGAGAAAGTTGCAGAAAGGTGAGATGCTCAATGGACAAGATGGGAGAGAAAAAGGTTTGTGACTTGCTGGGAAGGGTAAACAGCATCACCATAGCAGTTTTCATTGGGCAGGCAGTGGAAAGTGCATCCAACCCTGGAGACTTGGGTCATGGTCCCATGATGCTCACTGAAATGAAGTGGTGGGGATGGCCAGTAAAGTAAAGGTTGAACACCAAAAGTGGAATCGTTGAACAAATCAACAGCTGTAAAAATAGCTGGGGAGGGGGAGATGGTGGGGAGCTAGTACTTTTGGGTTCAAGTTCCACTCCAGCACTGGATTGTCACAGAAGGATGTTGAGATTAGTTGATGATCAAATGTACATGCTTCCAATATGCCAATGCTATGAATAGGATTGAGAGATTTTTCGTGGTCAGTCAGAACTATATGGTAGCAACAGTGTAATAGCCTCCTCATGTTAAAAGACTGCATCCATAGATGTTTCCTGTGAAGTGTAATCCATGGCATGTGTCCTCCTCATTTTGAGGCACTACAAGAAGGAGAATTGATTTAATGGAGAGTTATTTTTATTGGGTGGCATGTAGAAGGAGCTAGACTTGGAAGAGATCAAAATAAGGTGGGTTCTGCAAATTGCTGGCGATCTGACCATCAGATGTCTAGCTGGTGAAAATAGAATTTTGTCCTAGGACATCAATGAAATTAATTATAAATACTTTGCAGATAGCAAAGACCTTGTGTTTGGGTGGACAGCCATTCTAGATGATGCAGAGAGGTGGTGTGTATGATCTGCTGGTGGGGTGAGTGAGGGTTGTGGTCAGTGGGTAGGGTGGTTTGTGGAATAAGCAAAATTGAAAAGCAGGTTCTGTAAGGCAAACACACACAGCCTTAAGGAGAGCTTGTGAGGAAGACAGGAGAGGAAGGCCGAAGATGGATCAGATACTTTTCAGAAACATTGCATATTGGAGCACTTCATGCACTAATCCTGCCGTCAATTAGAATCAAGCACAACAAACGTAGCACTTTTATGGGCTAGTGCCATAGAATCATGACCACGCTACCAGACCTGCTGAGTACTTGCAGAAATTTCTGCATTTATTTCAGTTTTCCAGCTTCTAGTGTATTTTTCTTTTGTGTGGTCTGTTATTTAATAAATAACTACTTACTAATGCAGAATGTAAACATTGCCATAAGGAGCCAAAATATCAAACTGCTTTGTTTTGTACTCAGCTAACTGAACACAAAGAACCAAACTTGGAAAGGGAACACAATTTTCTGATATTTGTCCTCACGTTGCATCGTTTTCATTGAGAATAGGGTCATGGAAATGGCCAATCTTTGCTGCATTCCCCATGCCAACACACTGACCAGTCAGAGTCTACTTACTTGGCCTGAGTTTTTTCAGATAACCAAGTTTGACAGTTAACTGTTCCTGCACATCTTGATGCCAGCCACGGTATGATCAATCAGCATGCTGTTCACATTTTATTTAAACAATATTCCCTTTCCAAATCTGCTTTCTTGTCTGTCAGTCCTGATAGATACAGGGGAAATCTTTGTTTTTTTTTGTCCCTTTTTTGCAATATTACTGAGTCCTTTCAATTAAGGCATAAACTCATAATGTGATGTTTAGTTTGACTATCCACTTGATGACCACCTGAAAGCAGAAAGCAGTCATGAATTGCTCCTTCACAGACCATTGGGGGCAGTTGATGGAATCTGTTCCACAATAGTTTGGGTTGTAGCTCTGTCTTTTCTGACCTTAATCTGGAGTTGTCTACCTGGTCGTCAATGCCATGTGCAGGTTCAGTTGAGCAAAACCCACTGTCCGGGAAGGAGTTCTTGGGGGTTTATTTTGACCAGCTGACACACTCTGATAGTCTGCATAAATCTGACAAGTTTGATTCTACCCACATATTGTGCATATAGCATCTGACAGGTTCTCTACTTGGAAGGTAGCTTGATCAATTAGCTCAGAACTAATTATACTGGCAAATCCTCTGTATTCATCAATTGAAATCATCAATTATGAATTCACCTATCTGCACCAAAAAAAATAACAAAAATCAACATGTACAGGCAGATTTAAGCCTGATTCTAATGAGCTCTGCATTCGCAAATTTCCTCATTCAAGAGGTTCTCAAGAACAGAACCCTTGCAGATACGGAGGAATGACTGAATTAAACCACACATACAAAATATTTTAATAGATGGATATATTTTACTTGTCAGTATAAAATCATTGTCTGTTGGCAATGAAATTTACTTTTTAAAATTTAAATGTTTTATTACTTGCTTTGACAATATTGAATGTTACAAATGGTTGTTTCGACAACTGCAAATCAGAGAATATCACTTTTATGCATCCAGAAACTCATTGTCCTTCATTTTGGTATAACTTTCAGCGAATCTAACCTTGCCATTAATCATCTTGCACTCAGAAAGACAAATGCAGATTGAGTTCAGGAGATAAGCTTAATCTGGATCCTGCTTCCCATGCTGTCATCTGTAATTGTTCTAGTGACATCAATATTGAATAAACTAGCAACTTTAAAAGCACAAGATACTTCTGATGTGTTATTAGTTTCACCCCACTGGTACCTTGAGGCACCTTTTTCCTGCATTTCTTTCGTCAATGTCAGATTTAATGCCATGTTTTAAAGAAGATCTAAACCCCCAGGATCAAGGTAAATACCTTTTGGGAAAAAAAGTCCTGATTAATTCTGTCTATAAAACACAGTTGCCTTTCAGTGTAAGAAGCTGATGAAGCCTGGTTGTCACATTAATTCTTCCCCCTTCCCTTCCCCATCACCTGGTTCAACATAGCAATAAAGTGTTTGGAATGGAGAGTGGACAGGAAGAGCTTTGTTCTGTCTACCAAATGCTGTGAAATGCAATCGAATCTATGAAAATAAGATGCAGGATGGACAGCAGGTTGACCAACAGCTGAAAAAGAGGTGGATTACAATTTAGAATCAGCTTTCATAGTATCCCTGCCTCCGTTGCAAAGTGCTATTTGAAAAATGCTCATTTCTCATCTCATCCTTCTGGATTCCCTCCTCTTGTGCTTCAGTATTTCTGTTTTCGTAAATGTGGGGTGTGTCTGCTGAAATTATGCTAAATTTTAATTCATCCAGGTGCAAAGGAAAATAAGACAAGGACAATGAAGCAAGGAGCAAATGCAGTCCCAATCTCCGACAATCCCTGCTGAATATGCCTAGTGTGATTCAGACAAAGGTAAAAGTTTCTTCTGCATATTAATTTGGTTTGTGACATGAAGACAGTGAATGACATTGATTTTTATTATTAATAATAATTATTATTAAAATTTCCTGAACAGTTCATAGGACAGAGAGTTTAGAAAGGTTCAGGAATCTAACTTGAGGCATAGCAGATAAGGGGTCAACTACGAGAAGGGTGGTTAATGCAGGACTAGAGTTATTAATTGCAGGCAGTATATGAAACAAGGGAAATGAGCTTACAGTGAAGATTGAAATTAACAGGTACAATGTTGTGGGATTCACAGAAACATGGCTGCAAAGGGATCAGGGGTTGGAACTAAATATCCAAGGATATGAGTCCTTTCAAAAGGACTGGCAGATGGGCAGAGAAGGCAGGCTTGCTTTGTTACTAAGAAACAAAATTAAATCGGCAGCAAGAAAAAATATAGTCAGAATGTGTAAAATTTCTGTGCAAGGAGTTGAGAAACTGTCAAGGACAGAACACCATGATGGTGGTCATTAACAAGCCTCCTAGCAGTAGTCAGAATGTGGGGCAGAAATTACTTCAGGAATTAGAAAAGGCATGTAAGAAAGGCACTACTACAATAATCACGGAGGATGTCAATATGCAAGTGGACTGGGAAAATCAGATTGGTAGCAGTTCCCAAAAAAAGGAATTTGTGGAATGTCTACAAGATGATTTTTGGATCAGCTTGTAGTAAAGCCCACTAAGCCCATGAAGGGAAGCCTAGCAAGGAATATGATGGAGCAGCAGTGACAGTTGTTTCAGGGGGTAATTTGGGAGGTACAGCAGAAATTCATTCCCAAGGAAGAATAAACAAGTTAAGGGGAGGATGAGGCAACCATGGTTGGTAAGGGAAGTTGGGGATAGCATAAAAGCAAAAGAGAAAGCATACAATGTGGTGAAAATCACTGAGAAACCAGGGGATTGGGAAGCCTTTAAAAACCAGCAGAGGACAACAAAAAAAGGGGAGAGAAGATGAAATATGAGGATAAACTAG